AGTGTTTAACAGTTCAATCCTCAGATGTGTGTGATGGAATATAACTTGCTGTCTGCATGGGACATTCAGCACTTCCGTGGCTGTTCCCAGTGCTGACGTGCACAAATGTCTCTGAGTCTCCTCTCCCTCCAGGAGGTGACAAAGTCAGATGAGGACACTGCACCAGGCAAGCTGTGAGTTGCCTGATCTCTCCCGAAGGGTCTCTGGTGGCACTGAGATCCACAAGGATGTGTCCAACACAAACGCATCTTTCCACCATCCAACCCAAAAGGATTAATGATGTGTGTTAATGCTGCTTTTGACACCAGTAGTAGCAAAGCTCTCCCAGAAGACTTCACTCAGAAGTGGAGAGCCTGGACACAAAGCCTTTTGACCACCAGGGGATGCCTGGAATATGTGGCAATCCAAAGATTGTTCCTGAGTGTGAGATCTGTAAGCTTTAGTGTTAAGCCAAGCGGGCAGATGGAGAGGGCAGTCTGCAGGCAGTTACCTCTGACGTCCAGCCGTGTCTTGTGTTAGGTGGGAGCAGCAAGCACAGCATCCTGTTCTCTGGAGCTCTGGCTCCAGGCTCTTCTTTGGAATGATTTTGGTGCTGGATTTACCTGCTTATTCTGTGGCAAAGCAGCTGTAATTGCTGGTCAGTGGGTTCCTCTGTAGGACCTGCACAAGCTCCTGGAGGCCAACTCATGTGTGAGCCATGACCTGAGCAGAGTAGTTCAGTAAGCTGTAAATTTTCCATGGTGGCAAAAGAGGTAAGGGGAAGGCCTGTGTGCTCCCTATGGTTCATTGATCCAAAACCCCTTCAGCTTTCCTTTTATTTATAGAATTATTTCCGTGGGACAAAACGTGTGTCTGATACATGTCAGCTTGCTTGAGAAATATCCTGAGTGACGTGTTGAGGAGTGTGAATCTCCATATAGGGTAGGGCTGAGGTTTTCATAACCTGCTTTTTTTCAGGAGCACTTTTAAAAATGTGTCTAGACTTTTGAGTGATCAGCAGCTCATCAGCCAATGTTGCTGGGCCTGCCTTACATGGGGAATCCCATGCCTCCCTGCACTGTGTGCATAGTTGCTTGATACCTCCTGGAAGCGTTGGATGGATTTGAGCGCTGTTGGGAGCTTCTCCCTTCCTTGAAGAGGTATGTTTAGGGTTCCCAGTCCACAGGCAACTGGATTTAGCTCACCTGCAATGGCAAGTGTGGTGGGAGTTGAGAGATGTCAAGCTCTGCAACCCCAAGTGCCTACAATAAATCTTTATCCCTTGATTTTGGAAAAGACACTGCTGGAGTTTAAGTGTTGCACCATGCCAAGAGCATGCATCCCATGTGCTTGTGGTTTTGCTACCATCAGCACAGAGCATGATCAGCACCCTCAGCATGATCCAGACTTTCCTGGGAATTAAGTTCCTCTAAATTTTTCTATGGAAGAAATGTGTGAGTGGAAGTGAAATTAAATCCTGTAGAGATGAAGAGTGAGGAAAGTGGGCAAGGAAGCAGAGGGAAGTCCAGCCTGCTCATTTGCAGAGGGACATGAGCTGGGCTCATGCTTGCTGAGTGCAGGAGCCTGCTTGGGTTGGCAGGTGCTTTGGAAATGAAATTATTTTATCCTGAGTTACGTAATGCAGCAGCATGTCCAAACCTGAACTCCCTGCAATTTTCTGGCCTGCAAGGAATAATTTTCTGCTTGAAATATTAGCCTTAGCTTTGAATTTTGTGGCTCGTATGGCGTATGCAATCATTGTAATATCTGTATATGTAACTGCTGCTGTTTGAACTTGAGATGTTTGGGTAAATTTATTTTTGTTTATAGCTGTTGGATGATGAAAACCAGAAAATAGTTGTTTATTAAGAGCTGCATAAATACATCAAAACCTGCCCTGGCCTACTGGTTAGATCCAGCAGGTTAAAAGGTTGCAGATCCTTCTCTGTGTCTAATTATTGCACTAGGTTGTGATGGGATTTTTTGGGATAGAGTTGAAGTGCAAATTATCAGCATTCCTGTCTTGATATGGTTTTGGTCTTAATTCTTACATGGAGAGAAACCTTTGCAGCTGTTGGATAGTTTTTTTTTTGTTGTGTTTTGTTTTTCATCCAGCTCTTTACTAGGGTAGGAAACTGTCTGGATGGCTGAGCCCAGAGAGAGGTGGTGAGTGCAGTTACATCTACCTGGTCCCTAGTGGTGTTCCCGAGGGTTCAGCTTTGGGGACACTCCTGCTTAATGTCTTTATCAATGACCTGGAGAGGGGATCAAGGGCACCCTCAGTCAGGTGGCTGGTGGCAGTCAGGTGGATCACATCAAGTGGAGTGAGAGTGTTGATCTGCTGCATGGCAGGAAGGCTCTCCAGAGGGATCTGGGCAGGCTGGATCTGAGGCCAAGCTGGATCTGAACCTCTGACAACAAGGCAAAGTGCTGGATCCTGCACTTGGATCATGGCAACCCCAGGCAGCATCACAGACAGGGGGCAGAGTGTCTGGGAAGCTGCCTGGTGGAAAAGAACCTGGGTGTGCTGGTCAACAGCAGCTGAACATGAGCATGGGAAAAAGCAGCCCACGGCTTCTGCATTCCCTTTTCAGGTGTCTCCATGGGAGCAGGAACTTGTTTGTACAAGCCTGGGGGAGAGAAGGAGAGGTGAAAGTCCCTGGTCCCTCTGCTTTTGGTTTGGGCAGCTCTTGCCAGTCTTTTGGTTGAATTGGAATTAATAACTGAAGACTATTGAGAGCATTTATTACACTGTCTTGCCCAAACAGAGAAACACTGAGGTTCTGGAGTGTGTCCTGAGAAGGGCAATGGAACTGATGAGGGGTCTGGAGCTCAAGTCTGGAGTGGCTGAGGGTGTTGAGCCTGGAGAAAAGGAGGCTCAGGGGGACCTTCTCATTCTACAACTGCCTGAAAGGAGGCTGTAGTGAAGCAGGGGTCAGTCTCCTCTTTCCTGTGAAAAGCAATAGGATGAGAGGAAGCATCAAGTTGCATCAGGGGAGAATTAGACTGGGTATTAGGAAAAAGTTCTTCACTAAAAGGGTGATGAAGCACTGGAACAGGCTGCCTAGGGAAGTGGTGGAGTCACCATCCCTGAAAGCATCTGGAAAATGTGTAGATGTGTCAGGGAAATGCTTTAGTGGTGGACTTGGCAGTGCTGAACTTGATGATCTTGGAGATCTTTTCCAACCTTAATGATTCTATGAATCCATGGAAACTAGCTAAGTCTAAAACATGTCCTGCTGTCCTTCAGCTGCATTCCCATGGATGGACCACCTCTCCAGGTGGTGACTCTGCTTCGATTTATCCCTCCTGGCCTCTTGTTCTGTCCAGAGTGACCGTGTGTGGGGTCATGTGATGAAGCAGAGCGGTGACACAAATGAAATAAAACCCCACAAAACTGATCCTGTGTGAGGCTGGCAGGAGCAGCCCACAGAGGCTGGTTGGGATGCCAGCTGCATAAACTGCCTGGGGGAAAAACAGCTGTGAAACCAAATTTTCTGCCCTGCTGCCAGACTTGGACTCCACTCCTGCTTCATCTCATGACAGGGCATGTCTCTGTGCTGTAGTGTTTGTGATGTAAGTGAATGTGGGGAGGGGTGGCTGAGGCATGGGCTGGCATCCCATCTCCTGCCCTCACTGCTGGGTCTTGTCTCCTCCAGGGGTGGGACAGGCAGCTGCCTCCTGAACATTTTAAACAACTGCAGGGATGCGAGGCAGAGCCTTGCACCTGCAAACACAAGAAAAGAGAGGGGAAGAAAAAACCCACACCAAAACACCCAAGAAAACAAAAAACAAGTAGAGAAGTTGTGCTCTGCATTTGTTTTGGCTTTTTTTTAAGCATATAATTCAATGAGCTGTACTGCTGAGATGCACATTCCCCAGCTGTGGTAAGTGGGGTAGAGGTTGAGACACATCTCTGGGGAGAGGGGAGGGTAGTGTGAGCCTGAGTCAGCAGCAAAGGTCACTTGGCTGCAAGGCTTGGCGTGCAGGAGGAGAGGATTTCATAACGTGGCCAGTGCACTGTTTGTGTGTCCAGATGAGGGAGGAACCCCAGCTGGGGTGATTGGGCAGCAAGGGTCAGCTTCACCTGCCCACTCTGCCTCACAAAGCACTGCTCACTCTTCCTTGCTGCTTCCTTTGCCTTCTCCCTTCCCATGCCCTGACTTCTCTTATCTCTTCAGTTCTGGCATTCAATCTCATCATTGCAGGGTTTGTTTTATGGTCTTGGCTCATCTTTCAGTTCCCGTTTGGGGTCATTATCACATATGATTAGTCCTAGAGCCTAATGAAGGAGATCAGACATAACTCTAGGGTATGTCTGAGCCATTTAGCATTTCTGACCTCAAAGATCTGCAGAGAAAGTTTATTTTTAAGCTTCCTAAGAAGATAAATTTGAATTTTGGATTGTTTAGGGTGTAAGTAATGGAACTGAAATCTCTCTGGGTGGAGCATACCCTCTGGGGTATGAAGAATCTCAGGAATAATTATACAGTGCTGCGTGAGTATCATTAGTCTTGAAATAGCTTTTGGTGGATGGTCACGTTTTTCTACATGGCAGAAGCTAGTGTGAAACCTTGAAACCTTAGGTTAACATTTAATCTTTGTTTAGGAGCACTGTCAACGTGTGTTTAATACTGCTTTTGTTATCCAGTCCCACCCTGGGAAAGCCAGTCACGGAGATATGAAACAATGACACACAGTAAAAACCTCAGAAAATAAAAAAGGGCTCTTTTTTGGGGCTGTTTTTTAAGGTCCCACTCTTTCATTCTACTAAGAGAGGAAGGATCTGTAAGGACTTGTGTGTTGGAGCAAAGTGAAGTCAGAGCATCCTCAGAACACCTCCAGCTGCTACTCTTTGGTGGCACTGTGCTGCACTGTGTCCCTGACCAGGGTGAAGTGACACGTCTATGCAGTGACTCAGCTGTGTTCCTACTAACCATCTGCTGATGTGATGTAGCTCATTAGTCACTAATTGGTGTGGTTACCCTTTTTTTAGGCTGTTGGAAAGGCCAAGGACCACATAGATGTGAAGCAGCTGAGTCAGTCTTCTACCTCTTTTGCCCTCAGGTCCACCAGACTCTTGGTGGTGCTTGGAGAGCTGTTTCAAGGTTCCCTGCCAGGCAGAAACAGACTGTCTCAGCTTTATCTTGTATCCTCTGATTGTTTGACTATAAGCCTATCACAGCTGTTTGGTGGGACTGGAGTCTGTAGCTGGAGCCTTCTGGTGGGTGTTGCAATGAACCCTCCAAAGGAAGGACCTTTGGAGGCAGTGGGAGACAGCACTGACTTTGGACTGAGCAAAAGAAGCTGGTTTCACCCAGGCTGCATTTGCTCCCTTCATCAGCTCTGTAAAAATCCTCTAAGCAATCTGGGGATTTACTGAGGATAGCACTTTCATAATACCTTTCTCCCCCTATTCCCCGCCTATCTGCCCCATACTTCTGCTACACTTACCATCTTTGGTTCTATCACCTCATTCTTTACCTAATTTGTAGGTACTGGGGGGTTAGGCACTGATGTTTTGGTTTTGCCTTACACGGTATCTGAATTGATGGCATGTAAATCTGTCTCTTTTTTGATATCTTGAGGATGGGTCTTTGATGCTGTGTGTAATACCTTGATCCTCCTGGACATAGCTGGATTTGCACACTGTCCTTTGCTTCCTTGTCTTTGGGTTTTTCTTTCTGCCTAAAATCTCCAGCTGAATCTTTTCTGGCTGTTGTTGCTTTCCGTGGAGGTTACAGACCTCCTTTTCTGGGCCCAGTGTTGGCAGCACCCTTGGGAGCGCTGGAGATGCAGGTGTAGATGCTCGTCCTTCATGACTTGATCAGCTGCAGCAAATGCATTTGTCAGCAGCTCAGCTCTGAGTTGTGTGTGTGGTCCTTGCTGTGCCGTGAGTGGTGTAGGAAGCCTTGTGGATCTTCCCCCATGTAGGCAACCCTGCCCATCTCCTGTGACATTGCTGAAATATGTCTCTTCTTCCTGCCAAGGAGCTTGGGTTTGGGGCATAGAGTGTGCTGGATAATTCCTAAGCTCCTCTCTGTTCACTTCCCATTTGAGCAATCTAAAGATTCCTCACAAAACTAAAAAAAAAGTTATCAGTGTAGTAATATTTCTAATACCATATATTATTTTTTCTCTTCTAAACACCTCTAGTACTTCAGCTAAACTATTACCCCACTTTTCACTTTAAGCATGTGAGCTCTTTCTCTTTGTAAGGCAAGCAGTGCTGCTCTTGTTTTAAAATGAAGTCCCCTATCTGTTCTGCCCTGATGTGTACCCAAGCCCTGCTCTGTGTGCACCCAGTGCGCTCCTGGAGGATCTCATGGTGGGATTTGGGATATTTCCCTGACAGAGGTCAGTTATGTGATCCCCTCAGACAATGTGGCAATGTCCATGCTGTCCTTTGGAGCTGATGTAAGTTAAAAGCAAAGCAAACATTTGGGTACATCTAGGAATCAGTGTCTCAGGTTTGTGGGGCACTGCTTGGAAAGCTGATAACCAGCATCTCTAACTTGTGGGCAGCCAGGTGAGACCGCATGAGAACCAAAATGGGGCCAAGGTTTCACAGAGCTTTGACGACGTGGATGCCCCAGCTCAGAGGGAGAAGTGCTCTTCTCCCTTATCTGAGGAGCCATGTGTGTGCCAAGAGACCTTTGTTCTGAATATTTGGAGTAATAAAGTTCAGCAGGGATAAAAGGGCATGTCCCCACTGACTTGGTTCACACGGTGTTGTGCTCTCTGTCTCTCCTGCAGCTGCGTAAATGAGTATGGAAGATTATGATTTCCTCTTCAAAATTGTTTTAATCGGCAACGCCGGGGTGGGGAAGACCTGCTTAGTCCGTCGCTTCACTCAGGTAAGGCTGGCCACCTCCAGGATTGTGGAACGTTGGGATGGGGACAGCCCTGGTATGGGAGCGTGGAGCCTGTGGCTCTGCACTGAGGGCTGTGCCAGTGTCACAGCTCCAAAGCCTTTTGCAGTTCACGCCTTTGGACACATACAGGGATGTCCCACAAACAGGGACATACTGCCACAAGCAGCAGATCTGTATCTAATGCTGCACCTGGCCCTGTTCTGGAGTTTGTGTTGGGGAAACCTCATTCCTCTCTGAAGGTGGAATGTCCCCTTTGAAAGCCACCAGGACAATTCCTCCTGTTTTGGTGGTGTTCTGGATCAGTTATAAGACTAACACATCTCCTGGTCTCCTCCCCAACCTTTGCTGTTATTTGTCATCAGTAAATGAATAATCTGGGTTCTGAGCTGTCGGTCCAATGTCTATTTTTGTGGCAGAACAGCCTCTGTGATCCAGGGCAAGGGAAGACTTTTCATGATGCATTATAAAGCACAAGTTGGGGGGTTTTGGTTGCGCTCTCCACTAGGAATTGTCAGCAATTTTACTTTCACTGTGAATTTTAGTTTTGAAGCGATAGTGATTTTAGATGCTCTCCAAAAACACGTGGCAGACAGTGGCAATAAAGCTAGTCATACCCAAAAGGTTAGCAGCAAAAATCTTTGGCAACTTCTGCTGCTTGTTCTTTGGCAGCACAGCTGCTGTAGGGGATGGACGTGCCCAAAATCAGCGTGACTTGGTAGACCAGAAATCAAAAAGCTTTCATTTTGTTTGCTGCTGCTCCTTTCTGATGGTGCTGCAATCAAATACCGCCAGCATTGCGCTGTCCCTTGCCATTGCTGTGGCGCCGGTGATGGCTGGCTCTGTGCTTTGCTCCTGGAATGCTGTGCAGAGGTGCAAGCCCATTGGGGAAAGTGTGAGGTTGTAAAAGGTTGCAAATGCATCTCACCCCACACAGATGTTCACACATCTTTCACTGCATTGGGGAGTAGGACGGAAGGTCCTCACCCTTCCCCTGCTTCTCCCAACTGTACAGAAGGGCTTTCCCCCTCTCTTTTTCCTCCTTTTCTTTTCCTGTGTTCCTACCTCTGAAGTCAATAACTTGCTGCGTAACTAGGGATGTTTAAGGCTGGGAAAACATAACAGGGTTGAATTTATGGTAACCTTCATGCTGGGGAAATGTGACACTCTAAATATGATGGAAGTAGGTGCCACGGGAAGGGGACAACGGATGAATAGTTTTGAAGATGGAAAACGGTGAGGATTGGCACCCAGTGAGACTTTTGTCTTGTAGAAATAAGTTTAATCAAACTTTTGTTTTCTTCCAGGGGCTTTTCCCACCAGGGCAAGGAGCCACGATTGGGGTTGACTTTATGATTAAAACTGTGGAGATAAACGGTGAAAAAGTAAAGGTAGGAGCCTGATCATTTAAAGTGTAAATTCATGTGACAGTACCATAGATGAGGTTTCTTGCTGAAGCCCTTCCACTGCTGGAAGAAATTTAAGGAAGGTCAGGGCTGTCTGGCATGGCTTGGGCAATGCAGGTTCTAATGATCTGTGAGCCCCTCTCCATCATTACTATCAGGATTGTAAAAGTGACCCTTGTGGAGGGGAGAAAATGGAAAAGAGAGACCTTGCAAAAATGTTGTCCTTGCTTAGGAGACAGGCTTGGATTGAGGAAATCCAAACAAGAGATTCAGTGCAGCCTCTGCTCACTGTTTCTGGTATGCAGAAATTTGTTGCATTCCCATTGGGATGTGCTTGAGGAGAGTTTCCTGTGAGCTCCAAGATGGCCATTGGGGAGAGTAGATGTCTGGACTTGCATGGTTCTGCACAATGAAGGCTCATCTTCCACTTCTGCCAAGTTATGGATTTGGGAGAAGCAGAGCTGATCACAGTACTTGTGTTTCAGCCAACAGGTTGAACTGCAAAGGGCAAAGCTCTCCATGTTTTTAACTCTTTTACCCTCTAAAACAGGGTGGAAGACACTTTTGGGAAACTGTCCTTGTCCTGAGCTGACTCCCAAACTGATCCTGAGCATCACTTGGCAAAGAACTACTTTGTCTGGGCCAAAACACACAAAGCATGAAGCTGGTGTCCAATTGGAGACCAATCTCATGCTTTAATGGGGTCCACAATTGGGTTCCAGAGCCCAGAAATGCTGGCTGCTACCACTTTGTTCATTAGTAGGGGTTTCACTTCAGCTGCTGTGATATCTGAGATGAGAAAAAAGTACAGTTATTTGAGCCTCTAATATCAAGGTGTCTATGGTCCCTGAGTTGCTCCTGGATTTACTCTGCCTGCATAAAATTCAGGGGCACCAAAGTGAAACCCAGCAGTTTCCCCTTGCAGTCTTTATCAAACCAAATAGTGAGCCAATGCAAGAATGTGTGGCACCAGTGTGGCAGAGGCTGGGTGTGACACTGAAACCTGTTATTAAACTTAAGTGATGGGATGGAAACAGTGGACTTGGGCAGATTTTCAGCTCTGAGGGTTTTTTTTAACCTGGACCACAGCACCACAGAGGGGTTTTAAGAAGAAAATGGGGCGTTGTATTGCTAAGTTTAGGATGCATTTTAAGAACCGTGGTCATGTCAGCAAGCTGTGACTCTGCTGTGTGAGGAGCTTACAAACCTATGGGAAGTGGTGGTGCTTCACCAGGAGACCTTCCCACCTGAGCGGCTGAAGGACAAGAGGTAGAAAATCCCTCACTTGATAAATCCCAAGTTTATACCATGGCTGTGCACATGGGCCAGAGCAGCAGGCAGGGATGCAGTGAGGATCACGTGTGCTGATCAGGTGGTGCTGGTGCTCAGCTTTCTGGTTGTGATGCTCATTAGCAGGGCTGGCCAGGACATGAATGCTGCTTGTCCCAAGCTCCTCAGACAGGAGAGATGTTTCTCTCAGCCAAAAGCAGCTCCAGTGCAGCAACTCAAGAGGATCTGAGCTGGTAAATGGTGTAATCAGTGTATTGGAGGTGGAATTTGTTCTTTCTCATATATGTAGTTTAAATCAGCAGCCTCAAGACTGTCCTGGTCATTTGAGGGAGAAAAGCAGTCCCGAGGGACATAAATCCCATCCACTTCAGATACCTCTCCTTTTCAAGAATTTGGTTCTCTGTCAAATCCTGCTGGAGCCTTTAGAACATCACTTGTGTGTGAGGTCTGGGGTTTGTACTGGTGAACTTACCCTTAGGATTTGTCTGTGTTTGAAGTGTTGCTCCTGTGATATAATTCTATTTGGGCTGAGGGTGCAAAGTTCTTAAGAGACTATTGGAAGCAGTTGTGCTAGTATGAGCTGCCTCAGGGGCAAGGATGGTTCAGGGAAGCTCTACAAGCTAAATGAAGTCTCTGCTGCCCTGCAAATGTCTGATGAATGCACAAGTGTCCTCTCTGAATCACCTTGGGGCAGGATTGTGTGTCAGACAGCCTTTGCAGGTGCTAGTTGGTGTATCTGCTATACTTCACATGGCCAGTACTGGGTTTTAAAGTCCTCTCCACCCCCACCAGTGCAGTAAACTGGAGTTGCTGGAGCTCAGTTTCAGAGACCTTGATGAGCCTTGATGGGAGCTTAGTATGATACATTTGGGCATTGGAATGAGCCTTCTGGAGTCTGGAGGGCAAACAGATTTCTTTCAGTGATCTTGTAGCTGAAACTTTTTGAGTATAACTTGTGAGAATGAACATTAAATGAGAGGGGAAATCAGGAATGAGTCAGAGAACAGAGCTGCTCTGGCTGTTAGCTCATTTAGCAGTGCCTAAGCCACGACTCTCTTGCCTCTGTGCTGGACAGCCTCCCCTGAATGTCTGCTGGGATCCAGAATGAGGAAGCAGAGCTGTTTACCAAAAGAGCTTTCAGACTTGAAAATAAATTATGGATTTCTGGGGAAAAATACTTTGCAGCTTTCAAAATAGCATTATAAAGTCAGTGGAGAGGGACTCACTAGTATGAAAGCTGTGTGCAGCTTTTCCAGATATGAGCAGCTACCAAAGCTCACTGCCCAATGAGCTGAGAGAGCACTGTGCAGTTGTGAGGGGATTTTGATCTGCCTGGCTTCTTCCAATAGACTCCAAAAATACGTGCAGCACTTGTACCAAGAGGGCCCACAAATTGAAGCAAAGCAGATAGCAGTTACCATGCTGGTCAAAGCTAAGCATCCTCAGTGCTGTGAGTAGAGGGCTGTGCTATATGGGCTTGGTGGGAAGCTAAATGTGTGTGCAGATGTTGGGAGGGTGGGAAGCATCAGCTGACACCAAGAAAATAAGCATCTACGTTTTCTGCAGACTGAGTCAGACACCATCCTTTGGTTATTCGGGGCGGGGGAAAGAAAACTGTACAAATAAAATACTTGCTGTGAAATACTTTATTTGACAGAAATTACCAGTGAGGGAAAACATGAGATGTGCATTTTGGGTGCAGGAAGAGTTTATCAGTGGCTGTAAGACTGGGGGCTCTTCCCTGCCTTCTGTACCCAGCTCACAGGTAGACCCATGTCTGCTCTCCCCAGCACATTCTCTTCTGCTTTCAGTGTTTGTTAGATTAAAGCAGTGGAAGAACATATTCACATCAAGCTTTTATCAATTTAGACATCTTCTCAATAAAGGCAGAACATATATAAGCTGGAATATATAACCAGGAGACAGTGATTAAATGTTTTTCCTGAGAAACAGCTAAGTAACAACAGAATTATCTGTATCCTTCCATCTGCCAGAGTTTGGAAGCTGGTTTGTTTTAACAAGGACTCATTCATTATCTGGTTTTCATGTGCAAGTAATTTCACTTACTGTTTTGTGTGTTACTTTACAGATACCAGGTTCAGCCTTTTAAGTACAACTATGCCAAGAGATTTAAGCACAAAGGTGCCCAGGAGCTGTGAGCCAGCCACAGTTACTTTCTCTGAAAAAAAAAAAAAAATTCTTTTTTTTTCCCCCCCCAAAATTATACCTCACATCTAAAACCTGCTACATTTCAAACTAATATATTTATGATGAGTGGCTGTAGCACACTTTGGGTATAGTACAACTTTGGAACTGGGAAAAAGTAAGATTTTCTCTATACAGGCTGCTGAATATATGGAAAAAATCTCAAATACTTTACCTTTTTCTTCCCAAAGTACACAGGATTTTGGCTGGAAAACATTATTCCACATATTTAATTCCAGGGAGAGGCACTTTAAAAAAATAAAAGCTGAAGCAGAGAAATACTCTTTTATCTTGAAATGATGTTAATGGTGGATGTTTTTCTTTGACTTCTTTTTTGAAGAATTGAGGTTTTGATGATCCACTAAAAACTATCAGATGGTCAAAATATAAAGCCAGCATAAGTGTAGTTTGTATTGGGAAATGTATGTTGTTTTCATGGATCCAGAGGGTTTGGCAAAGATTCATGAGTTCTTTCATGGTGGTGAGACAGGAGCAGACTGTCCAGGGAGGTTGTGGATGCCCCATCCCTGGAAGTGTTCAAGGCCAGGCTGGGTAGGGCTTTGCACAACCTGGTCTGGTGGAAGGTGTCCCTGCCCATGGCAGGGGGCTGGAACTAGGTGGGCCCTTCCAACTCAAACCATTTTAGGATTCTGTGCTGTAGCCAGTTCTGCGTGTTGGGAAGGTGAACAGTGAGCAGCTGGATGAGATGGCTGAAGCTGTAGAGAGGAAATGCGTTCCAAACCTTAGATAAGCCTTCAGCTGAGCTCCTTGTTCAATCCTGTGCTTTCCACCCATCACTGCATTGTCTCTGGATAACTGCAACCAGCTCCATGATCTAGAGGAGAGGCATTCTTATTCCTTCTTGGGAATGGAAGCTGTTAGACTTCAGGGGTGGGAGATGTGACTCTCTCCCTCTAGCCCTTCCAGGCTGGGAGTTCTGCCCGCTGCAGAAAGAGTTGCAGGGAAGCTGACAGACCTGCAGCTTCCAGGGCTGTCGGCCACAGTGCCAGCTGACTTTGTGTCCTGCATTTCAATCCACAAGTGCAGGAAGAGAAACAAATAATGCTGGGGGAGGGGAAGCCAAAGGGAGAAGAGCAAAGTGCTTTCCCAGCATTGGTTTTACCCTGAAGGGGATGCTTTTAGGTCAAAATGGTGCTGCTATCAAATGAAAAAAAAAAAAAAAAACCAACTTTTTTTTTTTATTATTTTTTCTTTTTTGCCTTTCTCCACCCTTCCTTGCTATGGCAAAAGCTGCAGATCTGGGACACGGCAGGCCAGGAGCGGTTCCGATCCATCACGCAGAGCTACTATCGCAGCGCCAACGCGCTGATCCTCACCTATGACATCACCTGCGAGGAGTCCTTCCGGTGCCTGCCCGAGTGGCTGCGGGAGATCGAGCAGTATGCCAGCAACAAGGTCATCACCGTGCTCGTGGGTAAGTGACCGTGGCCCCTGGCCGCCAGGGCCGCCTCAGGGGGCGAGCTGTGCACGCCTTGACCCCGGTGCTCGGACCATCCCTTGTGCAAAATAGCCCCAGGATGCTCAAAGTGGTGCTCAGGATGCCACGGACACCTCTTGAAGTGTGGTCCTGTCTTGGGTCCTGTGTGCAGAGGGGGATGCTTCCCACCACTCGGTGCATGAGGGACTGAAGTGCTGATGGTGCAGCTACCACCGAGCTAGGAACAGAGCAGTTCCCCTTGTGACTCCAGGCTCACATCTCCACAAATGAGTGAGGGCCTGCTCGAGCTGGTGATGTCTGCAGCTTGCTATACTCCATAGGTGTGGGACAACCAGTCCTGTCTTAAGTGCTCAGGATCTGGGAGCCACATCAGGACCTGATGGTTGTGTGGATCATAGTGTTCATAGGTGGGGCAGAGCTGGGAAACTGGATGTTCTTGCATGGATTTTAGGGAGGCTAAAAATAAACAACTGAATGTTATATTAATCTGTAGAGCTTCAACTCAAGGCAAAACAGACCTCAGGCCATCTGTCTGCTAGAAGCAAGGGGAAGGTTATTTTGCCTACCAGTGCTTTTCCATGCTCTGCTTTCAGCATCTGATAGTTGGGACTTGGCTTTTAAAGGTCTAAGAATATATAAAGAACAGTGGAAAAATAACTTGAGAAAACTAAGAAGTTTCATGCTACAGTGTCACCTTTAATAGTTTGCTATTTAAATGAAAAAATCTAGGTCATTGTAAGAGGTGTCTAAAAGTGTATTTTAAAGGAAAAAAAAAATCTTTTTAGTTTGCCCCACTACTACTTCAAGTGAGCTATGAGGTTTATAGAGCTTCCATACAAGAAACTCCATGATTATTGCCTGGGTACAAATGGTGCAGAAATAATTAATAAATGACAAACAAACGTACATTAATTCTTCCAGTGAACATTAAGCTAATTGCTAGCATCTACAGCGCAACATATAAATCGTATTTTAGTCATGACACACCCTTTGAAGATGGTGACACCCAAAAAAATCACTTGTGTTGAGTGATAATCTGTTTAGAGGGGAAACTTCAGTGTATTCAGTGGGTCTAAGATGCTGCTTTATTGGGCAAGGAGCTCTCAGATGAGGGGAAGGCAATGAGAGAAGTCTTGCTGGTGGAAACACTGCCTTTTCTTCCCATGAGCTCTCACAAAATTGTTGGTAGGAGTGGGGCCAGGAGAAGTTTCCTCCTGAACCTGCTGAGTCTGTGGACAGAGTGACCTGATATTGCCGGTCCTGGTCTGTTACCTTCGTTGTAAGATTAATTTATGGCAGAAACCTCATGTTTGAAGTTAAGGGGCCAGCAATAGTGTATAATCATATCAGATGCTTGCTTGAGGCTTTAATCAACTCTCTGCTAGACAGATCTCTGAACCAAAAGGTTGGTTTCTCACCCCACTTAACTCTGCAAGTGCCCCCCAAGCCCATCCCTCTTCCAGCCTCCACAGCCATATCCTATACTGGAATATTGAAATAGGGAACCTTTTTTCCATGCCAGGCTTTTAAAAAAGCTTGTAACAACATGATGAATATCACATTTAGTGTCTCATATTCTATAATTGACATTTTAAGTGCTCCTCAGAGCAAGCCAAGGAGAATTTTCAATAGATGTTAACATGGAAATCCTTTAATGTTGGTTGATAGCAGCAAACAGATGCCCTGGTGCTAAATTAAAGCAAACTGGCTTGGATGTTCACAGGGCATATTTCATTACAAGAGCTGATATTAAATGGACTGATGTTTCAGGGAATCCATTATTTGGAGGGGAGAGTAAACATTAGGAGTTACATATCCAAACTACTGTCCATACATATATCAAACCAAACTCTTATTTATCCTTTATAGACCTCAGTTTCTCTTGGTTTTGAAATCAAATTAACACGTTTTCTAAAATATTTTATCAATGCAGGTAATAAGATTGATTTAGCTGATAAGAGGGAAGTCTCCCAGCAAAGAGCTGCAGAGTTTTCTGAAGCACAGGACATGTACTATCTGGAAACATCAGCAAAAGAATCGGATAACGTGGAAAAACTCTTCCTGGACTTGGCCTGCCGGTTGATCAGTGAGGCACGACAGAATACCCTTGTGAACAATGTCTCATCCCCCTTACCAGGAGAGGGGAAAAGTATCAGCTACTTGACTTGCTGTAATTTTAATTAAAGAGCTGGCATGTGATTGCCCCTTCTGCCATGGGCCAAGTGGATTTTTCTTTTGTATGCTGGGATTTTTCTACTTGAAGGAATTCCTGCCAATCTGACCCATCTGGCTTACTCAGAGTCAGGTTACAGTCCTGGAAACATGGCAGGCTGATGGCTCCAGCTGCATGGCAATGTAGCAGAATACAACAGGGTTTAAATTTCATTTTTTCTTGCAGTCTGTGGAGCAGGTCAGAAAAGGAAGAGTTGCACAAGTGCTTCATGTAATGCAGAACATGAGCTGTTTTGTTTCCTTCTGTGGGAGAGTAGACCAGCCTTTCTTGAAGATACTGAAGAGATCAAAATCTCTCTTACAGAACAATGTGTTTGATCCTTTTTAAAGTAAAACAAAGCAAGAAGAAGTGCAACAATGAATGCTGACTTTGGACTACTCTGGCAATCTGGGCTGGCAGTGAGTGAGCTCAGAGGACGTGTACATAACGTCTGACCCTGCGTCTTCATGGAGGACTCTGGTGTTTGAAATAGTGTTATGTCTCTCATCTACAGGCACTTTCATGAACATGGAATAAATGAAAAAGTTACATATAGCAACATTTTCGAGATTGAAGAAGACATGGATATGACCCAGTTGCTCCCTTTGGTGCTAGCAGTTCAACAAATATTCCATAGGCCAAATGTAGTCTTACCACATTACTGTCTTCTTTCTGAATGTGTAACTTAGACTGGCTAGGAAAAAAACACTAATAAGCACTGTTCATAAAAATAAAAAAGTCTCATTACCTCTTTTTCTAGGCCTGAACATAGTGGGAAAGGACTGTGTGCTTCTTTGATATCCAACAAAGGATGAAAAGACTTTCCAGAAATAAAAATAAATAAATAAATTAACCATTCCTCCTCTAATTAGTCATGTCCTGATGTAAAATGTTAGCCTTGGGAAAGATTATTGGTGGACTTGGCAAAAGTGCACCAGACATGACCAAAGTCTTGTGCGTGCATGGATGGCATATAAGGGGTCACAGGAAGCGCAGTCTGGACTGGCAGGCTGCAATGTGTCCAGCTGAAAAACAAAGCTCTTGTTGGAAGGCAGGAGTATAAATCTGTTGTAGGGGGTTTGTTTGATGGTAAGTGGGAATAGCAATGGGTTGCAAGTGGCGTCCTTCCATGTCTGCCCCATCCAGCTCTCACCTTGTGGAACTGCTTTCACAGATGCTCTTGATGCTCTCTTCTTGGCATCTGGTCCCTCTGCTAGGGTAGCTTTTAGGTTCAGGGCTGTAGAGTAATTTTATTTACCTGATGCTTTGTACCCTTAATCCCAAACTCTGGGATGTGTAACTGTTTACAGAACCACTGAAGTGGAAGCACCCCAGAGTTTGTGATGTTACTCCACCTCTAGTGCCATACAGTGCATTGCAAATTTACGCGTTGGCATGGGAGCGAAAGCAGAAGATAGTGAATGTGCACATAAATTATTATATTTAGGAGTTTGAGTTCAGTTTAGCTAATCTGGGTAAATATCTCCTGGCGATTCCATGGCTGTGATATGCTGCAGTTTAGAGTTTAATATCAATTTAATATTATTTGGCTTGTACTGAAGATTATAACAGAGCTTTTGTATTGATATAAAAAGCTGCCAGTAAGTACTTCTTTAAAAAAAAATAGCAATTAAAAAAAAAAAAGACATTTTTAATTTTATTTTTTTTTGCTTCCTGGAAAGATTTTCTTTGGGCTGTATAATGTTGTGCCTTTGATATGTAACGAGGAGTAGACTCTGTGTCAGAGAGAGGGGGGATTGGTTTGTCATATGGCCACTTTTAATATTTTCTTGCTATTTTTAGGTCATTTTTATGACTAGTGGTAAAAAGAAGATGTAGAAGTTGTGGTATGAAGCTGCTTTGTCATTTAGGTAACATTTAGCAAAGAGCTTCTGTAAGTGTGAGATGTTGGGGAACACGTCATCTGCTGCTCTGCTCTGGTCCATTTCAGTCTCTGCTCATGTTGTAATCTGAAGGATTTGGAAATGTGTGGGACTTGGTGGCTTCTGCTGTATCTTTCTTCTTGAGCATGCCCCAAATACAGCTTCATTTGAGCTTGTGAAGAGCACCCAACTCCAAGACAGCTGATTCTGCACAGCTCTTAGGTGGTTCTTTAGAGCTGGTCTCAGGGTGTTCTGTGGCAGGTAACACTCAAGTTAAAAATCAGTATCATGTGTATTTAATCTGTAGTAGCTCTTACTCTCTGAAGCTGGACCTGACAGCATATAATTGGTAACAAATAGGGCAGAACTCTTTGATCAGCTTAAACAGGGAAGAAGGAGACTGCCCAGTAAAACATCTGTGGGTTACTGAGCCTGGTTTCCAAAAAGATCAAAGCTGGGCAGGTACTCTTCATCCCTACCAAGCTGCTCTATAAATGCATTTTAAAGTGCTCTTTGCATCACTTCTGGAACTGGAACATGACTGAACAAACTGAGATGGTCAAATAGCAGAAACAGCTAACTTTATTTTCTTGGATATTTACTTTTAGATTTCTAGAAGCCTAAATCTTTTCCCAGTGCTTTCCTAATCTGTAGGTGACTATTTTGGAGACTAGCTGCCTACTGGCAACCTCAAAGCACTGGTTCTTCTTATTGCTAGTGAATCTTTGTGTAAGGACTCCATCTCCAGACAGTGATGTGCTTTTGTGGCAGGGTGGAGTACTGTGGTTGGGCTGATGTTCAAGTGAATGACCTGACTTCTCCAGTCAAATTTGAACTGATTCCTGTTAGTGTTTATTCTGTGTGGACTTAAAAAGTTGAAAGGAATCAATGGTGGTATGTGCAACACTTTTTACAAGGTCATAAACCAAAGCTGTAGTTTGAGACTCACCTCTCTTTCTGCTGTTTGCAAACACACCTCTTGTTGAAGAAGCAGTGTTTTATTGGAGTATTTACTGGAGTTATTTTTGCACACCTCTAAATATCTCTGTGGTGCATACAGCCAAACTTTCCTTGTAGCACTGAGGGCTTCTCCTCTACAGTCTGATCCACTGATAAAGGCTGCACAACTGGAAGAGGAACTTTATCAACTGCAGAGTCTTGAAAAATACAAAATCCCAATTATGTGATAATCAGCTCTCCAACTAAACACCTTGGTAGATTTTTTTGTGAGAACCGTCAGTAAAAGCCTTGTGACGCTTGCTGGGTGAAGTATCCAAAACCCATGCAGAATTGATATAATGGGGCCAAATTTAATTTGGAATGTTCTCTACTATCACAAGAGCCAAGCTTTTAGTGTGGTTGCTGTGCTTTGGGGGTGATATATTCACAGCCATGGAGTAACCTTATTTCTGGCTGAATGTTATTTTTTTTTAGTAGTCCTGTAATGAGACCCTTTTGTGACATATTTAGCACTATGATTATGTCCAAGCAGAAGCCAATACTGGATGGTCAACAAATATTTGCTTAAGCCAGTTAGCCTGTTTGCAGAGATTAAGAGAAGCATCTCTGAAAACCGGATGGTCTAAGCTCTGATTTCCAGTGGGAGCCACTGATTCAGTCAGCCTGATCTTGTGTAAACCACCAAACATTCAGTGCTTCAGATCACTGGGTGTGAAGTACTTGCTGTGAAGTTTCACACTGGGTGTTGACACAGTTTGCTGAGACAAGCCATGACTTCCTTCAGTCCATATTTGTGTTACCCCATGAAAGTGCTAGGGGACAAAAAACCCAAATTAAAAAACCAAACCAACCCTTCGGGTCAAAGAAATAAGATGGAAAAAGTGAAATTATGAGCTCTGTAAAGAAAGGGAATGTGCTGAGTGCTTCTTCCTGCCTCAAGCCCTGAAGTCTTGATTTGACCTCCAGGTAAGCTTCTTTGAGCATGCAGATACGTGTTTGTGCTGAATGATAAATGGCTCTGTGATCATTATTTAATGAAAACCACACGTGACAAATTGTCAGGCAAGATACTTTGTTCTTTGCTGTAGAACACATGAAACAGCCCTTAAGATCTGTCAGCCTGCTGGTGCTGTTTGTGTTTTTTTGGAGATGGCTGTATTGGTAACAGTTGGCTCCTGCTAGTCTAGGTTTAGCAGTTAATGGCTATCAAATTCCTTCAGCATCAGTAATAACAGCAGCAGACTGGGGCTGACACAGGAGACAGTGATTTGAAAAGAGGGAAAGTCGAGGTTAGTGATGCAGAAGCACGGTGGGTGCACGTACATGCGACAGCAGGCTTCCCAGAGCTTTTGCTGACAAGGGATGCAATTAGTTAGAGTCAAATCCACTGGGTTTTGCCTTGTTTGTTATCCCTAAGGACTGCTGTTTGTTCAGCTGCCTTACTACTTGTCTTCTCTTTTCAGTGTGAAGGACTGTCTGTAAGTCAGGCTGAAATGTTGAGCTGGCGTGATTCCTGCACTCAGAGACTGAAGTCAGTTGGAAAATAGGTGAAATTCTGCAGCTATTGAAGCAGGCTGAGCAAACACACAGGATATGCTGCCCTTTGGGACCTGTGGTGCCATCAGGGTCAGATACAGTTGGAGCCACTATCACAGAAACCCTCTCCTGGCTGTGGGGCAGAATGAATGCTACAGCCATTTCTGCACTGGAAAGATGACCCTCTGGAGTAGAAAATGCAAGTAAAGAGATGGTTCCACTTGCTCAGGATTTTCTCTATCCTATCCTCTTTTGAAATTGCAACTATAGATTCAGTTTTGATCGCTTTGGGCTTTCATAAAGGTCTGCTTTGAAATTTAGTCTGAAATTCTGCATTCTTTTACTTTTAGTGTCCAAGCACCCAATGTCTTTATGTGATTGGCTCCTACCACCCCTACCAACAAAGTCCTTTTTTTGAGTTAATTCGGTTAGAAAAAGATGTTTCTAGAGGATACTTTGTGAATTCCCAGTGAGCAAGTAAGGAAACTCTCCTTTTCTAAGTGTCTCTGTACATAAGGGCTCACCAGAAAATGCTCTGGAGCCAAAGGAAATACTCTAATCAATTCTAGTAGTGAAAACCCTGTTAAATCAAAATCTTTTCTTCCTCTTTTTATAAACTTTGTTGTCTCAACAAATTTGGGGTTTGACATCACCCTTTTTCCTTGCATCAGTTCTATCCTCTTATTGCTGTGAGTTATAATTGTTGTAGCTGCTGTTCAAGGATCATCATTTTGAAGAACAGTCATGTCTTATGGTGATGAATGGTGGGGAAACAATAGCTTGATTTCTTATAAGCAAGTAGTGCATCCTAAGCATAGCAGCCTCAACTGGAACTGGTGATGTCTTTAAAATGCAATCATCCACTTGAGCTGTAGCTAAATGTACCATTAATGTTACTCATCTCACATCTGCCTCAGTTTGGGATTTGTCTTGGCTGGGAAAGCAGGCAGCAGGGTAGTCATGCTGACCATGATGCAGGACTCCCAAAGCAGCACCCTGCCTTGCTCTGACTTACCCTTCTAATCACCGCCTCACTCACCTGACCCAAAGTTGCCTTTGCTGTACTGAACCATATCCAGCTGGGATAGATCACCAGCTGTCATCACTCAGAGATGCCATCACAACCTTTCCCCTCATGTGAACGAGCTGTAACTTAAACCAGAAGTAAAAACTATGCCATGTGACTCACAGGTGTGTGCTTCTTTCTGAGTGGGAGCCACATATCCAGAAAAAACTGTCATCCCTAAAGCTTGCTCCTTCAAATACAGTCAGTGGGATAACTGGGGGAAGGTAACCCAGAGAGAGCAGAAAATGAGATGGCAATGAGTGTAATTTAAGCTCCAAGCGTGGTCAGTGAAAAATTAGCCTGGTTTTAGGAGCATAGCCAGGGTCAACAGCTCAGCTTATCTGTCTGGATGAACAGGAGCTGGGTTTACAATACTCTGAGATTGTCTCTGTTTTCACATTAATATCTTGCAATTGGGACTTGGTGGATGTCACCACATTTTTTTGAACAAGTTATCCTTTTCCAGTAAGTTCAGAAGATAATTTTAGCTCTGGTTAGTGCTACAATATTACTCAAAAACAGATGCCAGTTTTACATTTGCACCTTTGCTTTTTCCACTTCTGCATTTCTTGGGATAACATTCTCAAGGACATGCACACTCATGAGTACACAGTGGTGGTGTCCCTGGTGAGGATTTTCTGAACACTTGGTCCTCAGGCAAAAAATGATATGGCCAAAACCTGTGTCAATCATGGTTTTAGCTGTGCATGGTTCCCTGGGGCAGAGGGGATGTTAAAAGTGTTCTTATGCTTTCATGGGCAGCAGTTGAGGGCTCTGGAGTGTTTGGTGTCACATGAATGCAAACCTCGGCACTTTTCAAAGCTTGATCCCTGTAGTACCTCTCATCAATGAATCTGCTCTTCTCTAATTACTGCTCATGCCTCAAGCACTGTGGAGGGATGATCTGATTGCATGAACCACTGGATCTGACTCCTGCTTTAGTTAAAAAGAAGAGCATCAGAGGCTCCTTTTCTGTGCCACCTTGAGCTTCTTACTATTGATATAAAGTTAATAATTCAATAAACCCCTTCCAGCCAGGACACCCTGTAAGGAATACTTCCCTTCTTACAGGACCAATAAAAGAGATTCAGACATTAAAAATTGATGGGAGTTTGGTGCAAATGAGCTGCTCTCTAGTGAGTAGGTGGGTGCTGCTGTCCATCCAGTGAGACTTGGGGCGGTGTGGAGGAGGAGCCGTGGCTGGGGGTTGCTGTAAATGTCACCGAGGGCTGCGCTTGCATTGTTGGCACAGAGCTTTAGTAAATGCAGTGTCCCGCAGTGTCCCAGCAGCTGAGTCTTCACAGAAGGGCAAGCAGAGGACAGGGAATGCCAGTTTTACATTTTAATAGAGGGGGAATAAAATTCTTGGTCTATGGTGGGGAGAGCTGCTATGCTTTACTGCCATTGCCTCAGCTCTTGCAGACTGTTGGGAAGAAAGGGTTTCCACTCACCCCCACACAGAGCCAGCACTGAAGGGGGAAAAACTAACTTCTGAAGTCAACATTTTAGAGGAGAAAAAGCCCTCTAATGAGAGTATGGAGCAAGCCCAGCACTTGTTACTATGCTGATTAGGAGTGACAAGTATATCTCTGGATATTAGGGAAGTAGTTTAAAATATGCCATAGTTTTTAGCATAATAAGATGCACTGCAGATATGTCACATCCATTTTATTCTCCACAGCTGTTTACAAAAGGGAAAAAACCCACCAAAATCCTGAGATTGGAGCAGCTGCAGTCACTCAGCTGTCAATATGGGACAAGGCTCTTTCTGCTCTTTTATTTCCACTTCACTCTGTTCTGCTGCGCATATTTGGCTGTTCTGTGAATTTGCAGATCATGAGATTTTTTTCCAACTGCTTTTGATCTGTACAGAAAGACTCACCCAGCTCTCATTTGAATACATTAATACTTTGAGTAGGCATTTTAATTTTATGTTTACTGGCTTGTTTCCCTTTGTAATGTTATCTAACTGACAAGTTTGTCGTGCTCTGCATTACCTTTAGACTTTTGAATCTAAAACATTTCCTCTTTCCTGAAAGCGATGATAATTTTTAGAGATGCTACAAAGGCATCTTCATTTCCTCAGGAGAAAACCTGAATTACCCTCAGCTTTGATTACTATAAAATCAACACTGAAGCACGTAATTTCTTTTACATCATGAACAAAGTATATTTTATGCCATCAACTGTAGTTTGAATTGTAGTTTAAAAATCTGCCTAAGCACTAACAGCAGCATTTTGTTTGTGATTTCCATGCCAGGGAAGTCAAAGCATTAAAGGAATTTTCTGTGTTGGAGTCTTTCCCACAAAGGTCTGCTGTCTTTTCCCCAACAATTGTGAATGTAGCACAATGTACAGAATTTTAGCAAGAACCCTGATTCCTAAACATTTGGCCAGAAGGATGAGGAGAGGATGTGGGTTTTGTTGATCAAGCACAACCATTTCAGTGGAAAAAATGCACTACATCTGGTCAGACAATTGATCTCGTTGGTGGGGTAATGCTGTCTTTGGGGAGGGTATAGGTGTTAGCAAATCACCAAACTGTGAACCATTCACTGTCAGAAGCATTTGGCTTGTGTCTTTAAGTTCTTGTGGTCAAGTGTGGTACGGTGGGCTTGAGAAAGGAATGTGTTTTGGATGACCAGGATGATGAATGTATGATGCTTCACATTTATTTGTAATGTTCTTTTTATACTTAGAAATTGCTTACATGTGTATCTGTATGTAAATAAATGTTTAATCCTTTCCACTTGGTCTTTAAGGTCTTTCATTTGTTTGGTTTTTGGTTTGGACTGCAAAGCAAAGTTGCCTTAAATACAACACATTCAATTGACGTGATTTGACATTAGACCAGCAAACAAATGGCTACTAAAGATGTTCTGCTTGGGCTGAGCATACTGAGGCTCTTGCGCCACTGAGACCTCACAAGAAGAGCACATGTAGAGCTGCTCCCCATGGGAGCCAGGTCCCTTTGAACTAGAAGAGAAAAAAAATTCCAAGTAGGAGAAATTACAGATGTAAGAAATGCCAGCATCAGGCACTAGAGGGTGGCCTTTGACAGAGGCACCATCCACTCACTGACCTTGCAAACCTGTTGCAGGTTAAACTCTTGTCCTAGCAAGATGCTGAATTTGTGTAGTATAAATATTGAATGATGGTTGGATGCTTTGGTCATCTCTTATTCTTTGACCCAGTCACTTTTTTTTTTTTTTTTTTTTTTTTTTTTTTTTTTTTTATGCCATTCCTTCTGTTGAGCCTTCAAATTCCTGTTTTCATTCTCATTGAACTCCAGTGGAGTTCCCCAATAACCAGCCTTCCTCAAGGCCTAGAATCCTTTTGGACAAGAACTCCCATTTTAAGGTTTTTGTCTTTTGGTGAATACATAAAGTTTGTGCTCTGACTCTTTATGGGGATCAGGTTTCCTCCCCTGTGCTCTGCTCCACATCAAAGATGACTCCTGTTAACATACCGAGAAACGAGCTGTGAGGCCTGAAGACACTATGTGTCTTTTATTGCCTCTTCCACTGACCTTGAAGCTCCTTCCTTGGTAAATGTCTGACATGAGGGCTGGACCATCTGCTCTTCCTTCCCCAGGAAGCTGGCAATTTGAGTCAGTGAGATAACAGAAAGGTATTTGGATAGGGAAAAGTCCCAGTATGCTTCTAGGTAGGAACGAGGCAGAGAGGTTGAAGGAAACATCCTTCAGATATTCAGACCTCTTAGGAAGTGAATATTTACTGAAAGAGAGGAAGGCTGGAGTGTGCTGCTTTTGAGGGGTGAAGGCTGGAGAAAACAGACCAAGCTCTTCTGGGGAAAGGTAAGTGGCAGGTGAAGAGTGGCAGCTCTTCCTTCCAAGGAGTATGTAACCAGTGGGATGTGCAACCTTCTTGTTCAGCAGGTGTAGCAGCAAGGGTACAGCCTGTGCCAGGCTTTGCTGAGGGTGAATGGAATGTGAGCTCACAAAGGCTCCCTGCAAAAAGGGAACAAGCTGCCCAGGGGGAGAAATGCAAAGCTGACTAAGTACAGGAGTGAAAGCAAGAGAGCTTTTTCTGCCCCTCTTCCATCCTCTCATGGTTGAAGCTCCCTATTGAGCATGTGGGGAGCTCTGCCCAGAAGATGTCACCTTGCTGACAGGGGCCTGTCACACAACAATACTTTCTGCTCTTCACTCTGTGTGCAGTCCTCTCGCACAAAGCACAGGAGGATCTGAGTGCCCTGCTTTAATTTCAATGGTATGGCACATACAGTCCTGCCTAATTTAAAATCTAGTCTTGATTTATGGATTTCTATGCATAGGGAATCAATCACAAACCCACTATGCATTTTCAGGAGTTTTATTACCCTCAGAATTAAACATGCTGAGCTTTAGACTTCTTGTACAAGCTTATAATTATAATCACATCAGCCTGCACCAAAGCTATCACTTACCGTAGTATGTGAATGAATTGTCTGCTGAAAAAAATCACTCATGCTGGACCAAACAGTTCATGTCAAGATGCTGTCAGGTACATGATGTAGAAGCTCTGGCACTGTTTCATAGCTAGCTTCATCAAGTCTCTGGTGTCTCACTCAGATCAGTTCTAATTCCTGGTGATAGAGTGGGTATCTGTCCAGTTCAACACAAGGGAGTGCTTAAAGAGCCAATGATAACTGCAGTACCCTATTGTGTGCTGGAGTAGAAAAAACTGGTTTCAAGTGTTATGAGGTCTTAAAACCTTTTCTGTACTTCCCTATGCTCAGTGATTTGAGTATGAGTAATGCTGTCTTTCACTTCATTTCTTCTACATAAGCTATATATGCAGATTTATAATTTCCAGGCAGGTAACATTTCTTATCCCTTTTCCACTTGCCCCAAGAGTTCATCAAGTAGGATTTTATTTTCAATACATAAAATCTTTTCAATAGGCACAGCTCTTGGTAAATGCAGGCACAAGTCCAGACCTTTTCACTTGGCCTCATCCTGGAGCCCTGCCCTACCTTGCTAGAAGTAGCCCTGGTGTGGTTTTGGTGCACTGATTTGCTGGGCTAAAGCTCAGCTGGACAACTCAGCAGCAGCTTGCAAAGCCCTTACAACTTCTGCTCTTACCTCCTGTCCCTCTGGCTGCGCCAGGAGGCCTTGCATAGGGAGCTCTGTGTCCTTTACATCGGAGCCCTGCCATGTTCTGCAACAGTGCTGTCACTGGCACCACACTTGAAAGTGACTCCATGCACAGGTTACCGTGGTCACAGAACCACAGAATGGTTTTGGGTTGGAAGGGACTTCCAAGATCTTGTTCCAATCCTCCTGCCATGGGCAGGGCCACCTTCCATCAGGCCAGGTTGCTCAGAGCTGAATCAAACCTGGCCTCACTTCTGGGGATGAGGCATCCACAGCTTCTCTGGGCAACCTGTGCCAGTGCCTCACCACCCTTGTGGTGAAGAATTCTTCCTGAGTATCTGACCTAAATTTCCCCTCTCTCAGCTTAAAAACATCATCAGTTTATCAATTAAACATTGTTAAAAATTGTGATGTCTAATTTTGCTCTTTCTCTGTCTCCCTCTTTGCTATAACAAGACGTTCCTTTTTCTTCTGTTTATGTCTAGGGTTCAGGGACTGCAGGGCTGTAGGCTTGGACCTGTCAGAAGAAATCTTGTGCCTCTTTCCACTGCCATCTGCTGTTGCAGGAACAACCAGAACTTTTGTGGTGTGCTTGAGTATCTTGCTGGGGAGAGAGCAAGATGAGATTAGGCCTCTCAGTGATCTCCAGAGCTGTGCTCCATGTCCTTTCAGGCAAGTCTTTGAACATGTGCCTAGATTTCAACAGTAAATAAAGAGGGGAAAAAAATTAATAACCAAACCAACCATTGTTGACTTGGAAAAGCTTCTTTGTAGAAGGAATTTACCTGTGCAGACCTGCTGCATAACCATGGTAAGTTTTCCTTGGGTCGGCCTACAGGAATGCCTGCAGCCTCAGCACATCTACACCCTTGGCAGGAGAGGCTGTACCTTATTTATACCCTGCTCATCCACAGGAGAAGCTTGTTTGATTCCTGTTCTCCCTGCCATTGCTCAAAGGGAAAAATATTTGATTAGAAAGTGCAGAACTCAGGCTAGAGACTGAGAAAGTTCACCTGTATGTTCTGTGATGGTGATCCACACTAAAAATCATGCATAAGGAACAAGGTAGTTAAAGTACATGCCCTTATTCCTGAAAAACTCTTCTGAACAAAGAGGGAAGCTTAAGTAGGTGCTGTAGAAATTATATGAGGCCTCAAACCTAGGAAGATAAAAACATCCACCTTGCAGCTGAGAAGGAACCAAGTAACCCCTCCCTGTCACCAGTCACAGTGTAAATAGTTCATATTCATTTTATACCTCAGAAGAAAAAGTCACAGCAAGTACTTTTAGGTCTGTTTCTGGTTCTACAAGTGTGGTGGATCCCCTCCACACCCCCAGGTCACACTAGGACCTTAAAGCACTCACTCAATACAAAATGTCAGCATTTTCAGGTTGCTTAGATCCTGTGCCACCAGATTTCCACATCCCTCTGCAGGACCTGACTTAAAAGCTTACAAGCAGCAGATCCAAGATTTCTCTGTTCAACGATCCTAAAAGCAGCTGTTTTGGGTTGAGGATACTGAAGCCCTTAAGGAGAGGAAAGACACTGTCAGGAATCTGTCACTAGCAGTCTGTAACTTGAAAAAGCATGTAGGAAAACTGGGAGCTGCTACCAAGCTCTCAGGATGGCCCCCTTCACCCAACTCAAGGCTGTCACAGGATCCCAAATGGGCTCAGATACAAGGCACCATCAATCTTCAACAAAAACTTGGCCCTTCTCCCAAGAGAGTCATCAGGCAAGAATCTGGACTGGACATGGATTCCAGTGCTGCTCTTGTGATAAAAAGACAACAGTGAATATTAAAACACTTCACCCACTTGTACTTCATGAAGTGAGATCTATTCAATATTCACACATTTATAAAAGTGTTTATTGCACATTAATTTTTAAGAAAATATAGTTATTACAAATTCTAATTTCCCTCGTCTCTGTGGTACAAAGGTCTGAAAATAAACCTAACTCCTCTTTGCAAGACATATGCCAACAGGTGTATAAACAATTTAACTTTTAAACAGCTCTTTTCTTCCACTGGATCCTTTCCAAACATTTTTAAAAAAATAATTTAAAAGAATACGGCATATAAATTTATCTTAGTATTTTGGCTTATTGGAGAAAGGGATCTGTGCTTGGAAGAACAGCTCAGGAGACCAGACAGTTGGCCCTTCCAACACAACCTCTGAATAATTCCCACCTGAGAGGTGAGTCCTGCCTTCTGAAGGGGAACAAGTTTTCAGGACTTCAGGATCCTTTTCAGGATCATTTAAAAATAAGGTCTTGGTGACACTTGCAGATAAAGGAGATGTTAGAATCCTGGGTTTATCCCCAGGGCTTATTTTCTCATTTTGGATGAGATTGTCATAATTTTCACTGTTCTTTCTGCTTTCAGAAATAGAGTTCCTGCCAGTGTGCCCACAGGCAGACTGTAAGTCAGCAGCCCAGCTAACTGTTTTTAAATTTGAAGATGCAGTTGGTTTCAGCCCTTTGTTTGAAGATGGAGTGATCCACTCCTCCAAGCTGGCAGGCAGTTGGCTGTTAAGAAACTGCTGGGAAGCAGAGCTACCACTTTCTTTGTCTTTCCTGTTCCTTGGTCTCCCACGTTTCACCAACTTGCCGGTAAGCTGCTGCAGCAGAGTGTTCTGAAAGGAAGACC